TAAAGACATTTTATATTGAGATCATTTGAGGAATAAGCAACATAAAATATTTTATAGGATATTTCTGCAAAGCTGCTATGATGGAGAGAAATAAATGTTCTGGTTTTCTGAAAAACAGACCCCTATAATCCCCTGAGCTGATTTCAAGTGTGAAACATCTCTCCAGACAGAGTTACAACTCATCTCAGCCATGGGTCTTCGTACGTTAGTTTGTGAGCAGGGACAGCATGGATTCAGCTTGAGCCAGAGGTGTATGTGCGTGTTTGGCAATAAGAAAAAAAACTTGTGATAAAACTATTGTTTTAAACTGTTGTGCTAAAACTGCTATGTGACTGCAAATGAAAACTGCTTGAAAGTGCCGTTACGAGCAGCTTCAGCTTGTGTAAGTCTTTGATTCCATTATGTTAATCATTCTCACCTTTGCGCTGGGCTCAGAGAGTCTGCTGCTGTGTGTGATTGCAAGGAGGTGCTAATAATATTTTACTTAAACGCCATCTGCTCAGACTGCTGAGGTGGAGAGAGAGGGAAGGGAGAAAAACAGCAAGAAAAGAATGAGAGAGCGAATAAGAAACCAGTCTTCATCCAAACATCATTCTAATGGGAAAACTTACTGTACATGTAAGTGTCTGAAAGTTTTGCCTCACATTTAGGTCTTAATTTAAAGCTAGACGTTTCTAAAATCTCTGTGGGTTTCTACAACAGCAAAATTCTCACAGTATGTTGATTCAAGTGAAGTGTATAAAGTCCATTGTCTGCTGCTTTGTACTTTTCAGGTGTCACCAATTTGATCTTCTCAAGATTCACCTAGGAACACATGCCTGTCACCATGAAGATTAAGATCAGTGAAATAATATAGCAGACCACACTGAAGACCTCCACAATCTGTCCAAGAATGAAATTCAGCAGGTAATATATGATGTGAATCAAAATTGACAATATTTACTTTCTTAAGGTGTTGTCATAGATTAGATTAGCAAAATTGCAGTTGTCTACCCAGCAGGCACACAATGTCATAAGACGTTGATATTGGGTTAAATTTTGGTTGTCAATTCAACATCTAATGTCGATGTTAATTTGATGTCCAATACCAACGCCAGCTGATGTTGATATTTGTTGTTTTAGGTTGTGTAACCAAAACCCAATGTTAAGCCAACATTAAATTGGCGTCAAATACTGACATCAACCCGATTTTCATTCTCAACCAAAATGCAACGTCTGTCCGACGTCATGTCCAACGTCAACCTGACGTTATATTGACATCATGTGCCTGCTGGGTATTTGGTCCGAAAGGTCTGTTGTCTATTGTCACAGAGAGATTAATGAAACACCGCTCACAGAGACGTCAACCAAGCAGGCTTTTGGTAAACCTGGCAAATTCATGTTACCGAAATGCGCCCTTAGGCAAAACTCCCAATTTCATGGATTTCTATTGAAATGTCTGAATTGTGCATGCAAAATTTCACAGAGCAATGGTAAATGTGACTTCATCTTTGATGCCTGTTTTTTTGTGAACATTTTTTTGATGCATTTTTGTCAAAATGCAAAAACTTCCTCCTCTGTAACAACTTTCCTTTTCTGCTGACATCACAGAGGCCATGAAGGCTACTGGATTGTAAATAAAAAGCCAGATAGCTTTGTAAGCATTGTTTTGGCCAGTTTTAATATGTAATACCCACATTTCACCATCCTGCCAGTTCCAGATGGACAACATCAAGTTCTATTCTACTTTATTTTTCATTGAATATCCTGTTTATTCATTACATTATGAAAGTAATGGCAATTCATGTTGACTTTAGATATAGAAAAATGCAGCAGATGAGATTGCATTTGACAGTGAGAATAGGCTAAAATAGATGATTTCAGATGCTGTTTTAAGCAGTTTCCCAGGGATTAATTGATTAAAGAAAGTAGCACATCTGATTTAAAAAAAATCCCATCTAAAGTAGAGTTTTATTCTATGGCATTTAGATTAAGCTCAGTTAATAATTTTCAGGCAAATGAAAAAAGTCAAAAGGGGCAGTCAGTCGGATCAGAGACTGGATTCGAACAGAATGAGCAAATACTCACCAGAAAAGATTAAAACAGGCCAACCGTGGATGACAACAACAGAAAACAAAACAAATGACAAGGCCTCAATATGTCCCTGTAGGATATTGATTGTAGTATGGATCTGATCTTTGGAATATTGTCTAAGAGTGTGTTGTTTTTCACTGCTTTAAAGAGGAGACCGATTCAAAACAGCTTTCAGAATATTACAGCTTTTACAGTTTTTTTGATTAAATAAATTCAGCCTTTGTGGACATAAGAGAAAACATTAAAAAAAAAAAAAAAAAAAAAAAATTTTATGACTAAA